TTACACTGTCGTCTATCACGGTTTATGTATTATTAATTGGTCTTTTTTCACTTATTTGCACTATTTTACTTTTATTTATGCAAATTCAGTGTGTTAATATGTGAAGGATTTATATGGTAGTAGCGCCACATTATTTTTTTTTTATTTTTCATACTTGTCTATAGGTACATGACTGAATGTTGGCAGCTTTACCTCTGTGAATAGTTGATAGGGTTTTAGTTGGGAGCGCAGGAGGTCTATCACATTTATATTTGGGAAGAATATTTTTAAAATATATTTTTCTTCCATATGGGACCTCATAGCCTCTCTTACATCTGAAGGACTTCTTACCACTCGGAGAAGACTGAGGAAGAAGAGGATCCAGAGCGCCATGTAACCAGCTTGAATACTTTGGAAGAATGTGGTAAAATGCATGTTTTTCTGCCAAAGCATGTTAGTACAAGGGTCCCAATAAAGCACACATACAATAAAGAAAAAATACAGTTCTACAACAGTGTACCACAATGTACAGACGTGACTCCTCACATGCCGAAGTATGTTGACTGCCCTTTTAAAATAATAGGCTGTCTTATAGCATTGTGTGTTAATGTGTGTGTTAAAGCACTGCACATGTGTAAATGGGCCCTAAGGGTTTTCCTTTGTATTGTAAATGCTTCAGTAAAGAAGTCATCTTCAAAAACAATTACAATGTCTCCTCTAGCCCTGACTAAGCCCTGTTTTTATAATTCATTAGTGCAAGTCATTTACAAATGAAAAAGAAGAATGATATTCTAATTCATGCTCCCTATATTAAATTCGCAGGCATATGTGAAGGGATGTGTTCTCGGTGCTTTCTGTTTCTAATAAGGATTACCTTCCTGTAAGCGTAGCCTACTCGTTTATTGTAATGATGTGGAAAGCTAGTATACTATGACAGTGCATGTTCAAATATATATATTCCTAGATTGTAAGCTCCAAGGAGCAGGGCCCTCCTATCCCTCTTGTATTGAACTGTATTGTTGCTGTATTGTCTCCCGTTATATTGTAAAGCACTGAGCAAACTGTTGGCGCTATATAAATCCTGTATTATATAATAATAATAATAATAATATATATATATATATATATATATATCTCATTGCTTTGTACATGTGAAGTCATAAACACTACGGTGCAAAAGACGTTCCTGACAAATGAAAGCCACACGTCCTCAGGATAGGTTACATAGTTACATAGTAACAGTTAGTCTGGCTGAAAAAAAGACAAAAGTCCATCCAGTTCAACCATTAAAAAAAAAAAAAAGGTTCAGTACCAGCCTTAGATGATTAGCCACGTATGATGAATACTACATGAAGGGACTGATATATTAAATTCAATGTTAAAATCTAAGCAAAACCTAAAGCCTGTTTCCACTTTAGCAGTCATATTTGAGAAAACATCACTACATGTACAATGCAAGAAACCCAGCCTCTACACCTTTTGACCCTTTGTCAGGACAGACTGGGTTTTAGATGCTTCTCAGGAAGAGGTGTCATGGCTGACTGCAAGTTTTTTTGCACAATGTTAGAGTGAGCCTGTCCCAAGTCTGTCCTCACTGACATACAATGCAAGAAACCCAGCCTCTACACCTTTTGACCCTTTGTTAGGACAGACTGTGTTTTAGATGTTTCTCAGGAGGAGGTGTCATGGCTGACTGCACTTTTTTTGCACAATATTAGAGTGAGTCTGTCCCAAGTCTGTCTTCATTGACATACAATGCAAGAAACCCATCCTCTACACCTTTAACCCTTTATTTGGAAATACTGTGTTTTAGATGTTTCTCAAGAGGAGGTGTCATGGCTGACTGCACGTTTTTTTTTTTTTTTGCACAATATTAGAGTGAGCCTGTCCCAAGTCTGTCTTCATTGACATATAATGCAAGAAACCCATCCTCTACACCTTTAACCCTTTGTTAGGCCAGACTGTGTTATAGATGTTTCTCAGGTGGAGATGTCATGGCTGACTGCAAGGTTATTTACACAATGTTAAAGTGTGCCTGTCTTAAGTCTGTCCTCATTGACATACAATGCAAGAAACCCATCCTCTACACCTTTAACCCTTTGTTAAGACAGACTATGTTTTAGATGTTTCTCAGATGGAGGTGTCATGGCTGGCTGCATTTTTTTTGCACAATGTTAGAGTGAGCCTGTCCCAAGTCTGTCCTCATTGACATACAATGCAAGAAGCCCATCCTCTACACCTTTAACCCTTTGTTAGGACAGACTATGTTTTAGATGTTTCTCAGGTGGAGGTGTCATGGCTGACTGCACTTTTTTTTTTTGCACAATATTAGAGTGAGCCTGTCCCAAGTCTGTCTTCATTGACATACAATGCAAGAAACCCATCCTCTACACCTTTAAACCCTTTGTTAGGCCAGACTGTGTTTTAGTTGTTTCTCAGGTGAAGGTGTCATAGCTGACTGCATTTTTTTTGCACAATGTTAGAGTGAGCCTGTCCCAAGTCTGTCTTCATTGACATATAATGCAAGAAACCCATCCTCTACACCTTTAACCCTTTGTTAGGACAGACTATGTTTTAGATGTTTCTCAGGTGGAGGTGTCATGGCTGACTGCACGGTTTTTTTTTTTTGCACAATATTAGAGTGAGCCTGTCCCAAGTCTGTCTTCATTGACATATAATGCAAGAAACCCATCCTCTACACCTTTAACCCTTTGTTAGGCCAGACTGTGTTATAGATGTTTCTCAGGTGGAGATGTCATGGCTGACTGCAAGGTTATTTACACAATGTTAAAGTGTGCCTGTCTTAAGTCTGTCCTCATTGACATACAATGCAAGAAGCCCATCCTCTACACCTTTAACCCTTTGTTAGGACAGACTGTATTTTAGATGTTTCTCAGATGGAGGTGTCATGGCTGGCTGCATTTTTTTTGCACAATGTTAGACTGAGCCTGTCCCAAGTCTGTCCTCATTGACATACAATGCAAGAAGCCCATCCTCTACACCTTTAACCCTTTGTTAGGACAGACTATGTTTTAGATGTTTCTCAGGTGGATGGGTGTCATGGCTGACTGCACTACACCTTTTTTTTTGCACAATATTAGAGTGAGCCTGTCCAAAGTCTGTCTTCATTGACATACAATGCAAGAAACCCATCCTCTACACCTTTAACCCTTTGTTAGGCCAGACTGTGTTTTAGTTGTTTCTCAGGTGAAGGTGTCATAGCTGACTGCATTTTTTTTGCACAATGTTAGAGTGAGCCTGTCCCAAGTCTGTCTTCATTGACATATAATGCAAGAAACCCATCCTCTACACCTTTAACCCTTTGTTAGGACAGACTATGTTTTAGATGTTTCTCAGGTGGAGGTGTCATGGCTGACTGCATTTTTTTTTTTTTTTTTGCACAATATTAGAGTGAGCCTGTCCCAAGTCTGTCTTCATTGACATATAATGCAAGAAAAACCCATCCTCTACACCTTTAACCCTTTGTTAGGCCAGACTGTGTTATAGATGTTTGTTATAGATGTTTCTCAGGTGGAGATGTCATGGCTGACTGCAAGGTTATTTACACAATGTTAAAGTGTGCCTGTCTTAAGTCTGTCCTCATTGACATACAATGCAAGAAGCCCATCCTCTACACCTTTAACCCTTTGTTAGGACAGACTGTATTTTAGATGTTTCTCAGATGGAGGTGTCATGGCTGGCTGCATTTTTTTTGCACAATGTTAGACTGAGCCTGTCCCAAGTCTGTCCTCATTGACATACAATGCAAGAAGCCCATCCTCTACACCTTTAACCCTTTGTTAGGACAGACTATGTTTTAGATGTTTCTCAGGTGGAGGTGTCATGGCTGACTGCACTTTTTCTTTGCACAATATTAGAGTGTGCCTGTCCAATGTCTGTCTTCATTGACATACAATGCAAGAAACCCATCCTCTACACCTTTAACCCTTTGTTAGGCCAGACTGTGTTTTAGATGTTTCTCAGGTGAAGGTGTCATAGCTGACTGCATTTTTTTTGCACAATGTTAGAGTGAGCCTGTCCCAAGTCTGTCCTCATTGACGTACAATGCAAGAAACCCATCCTCTACACATTTAACCCTTTGTTAGGACAGACTGTGTTTTAGTTGTTTCTCAGGTGAAGGTGTCATAGCTGACTGCATTTTTTTTGCACAATGTTAGAGTGAGCCTGTCCCAAGTCTGTCCTCATTGACATACAAATCAAGAAACCCATCCTATACACCTTGAATCTGTGTTACAAATAATCATTGATGACAAGCATGCTCCACAAATAGTCCAATCAAAAGTCTTATTTCACCTAACCACTTGCCTACTGGGCACTTATACCCCCTTCCTGCCTAGACCAATTTTCAGCTTTCAGCGCTGTCATACTTTAACTGACAATTACTCAGTCATGCAACACTGTACCCATATGAAATTTGTGTCCTTTTTTCACACAAATAGAGCTTTCTTTGGTGGTATTTAATCAGCACTGGGTTTTTTTATTTTTTTTGTGTTATAAATAAAAAAAACAAATTGGAAAAAAAAACCCTCACATTTTTCTTCATTACCGTTGTAAAATTTTGCAAATAAGTCATTTTTCTTCACAAATTTTGGCCAAAATTTATACTGCTACATTTCTTTGGTAAAAATCACCAAAAGCTGTCCATATTATTTGGTCTGTGTGAACAAGTTATGGTACCGATCATTAAAAGTTGGTCACACCTGATCAAACCTGATGTACTGATGGTAGAGAGTTTGTCAGGTCAGCGGGTCCGTTGTCTACATTTCCCTTGATCGCGATTTGTGGGCGGGATGACATGTGCCCCTGTCATCTGGCCACACCCCCGGGATCACTCAACAGCCTATGGCAGCTTGTCCCTCCCTCTGCAAGTTCCACCTCCTCGCCGGTGATTGGCCGCTGAAACTGTAGCTCAGGAATGGCGCACAGGCGGCCAATCACTGGTGAGGAGGCGGAGCTTGGAGAGCAGGAGCCGAGCGGCAGCGCGAAGATCAAAGAAGATCGAGTGAGGGAGAAGGAAGATAGCTGACAGGTAAGTGTCTGTGCTGTGCAGATGATGCTGCTGCAGACAGGTATGCTGGCTGTGGATGAGAGAGGGAGCGAGCCCAGGCTGGAGCAGGGGTCAGCAAGGTAAGTATCATTGGTGTCAGTGGGAGGAATAGTGCCCCATCATTGGTGTCACTAATACCAATGATGGGGCACTATTCCTTCCCCACTGACACCAACAATGGGGCATTATTTCCCCCCCCCCCGACACCAACGATGGGGCACTATTCCTCCCTCCACTGACACCAACGATGGGGTACTATTCCTCCCCCCACTGACACCAATGATGGGGCACTGTTCCTCCCCCCACTGACACCAACGTTGGGAACTATTCCTCCCACTGACACCAACGATGGGGCACTATTCCTCTCCCCACTGACACCAATGATGGGGCACTTTTCCTCCCCCCACTGACACCAACGATGGGGCACTATTCCTCCCCCCACTGACACCAACAATGCGGCACTATTCCTCCCCCCACTGACACTAATGATGGGGCACTATTCCCCCCCCCCCCCCCGCTGACACCAATGATGGGGCACTATTCCCCCCCCCACTGACATCAATGATGTGGCACTATTCCTCCCACACTGACACTAATGATGGGGCACCATCATTGATGTCAGTGGGAGGAATAGTGCCCCATCATTGGTGTCAGTGGGAGATACAGTGCCCCATCATTGGTGTCAGTGGGAGGAATAGTGCCCCATCATTGGTGTCAGTGTGGAAGTAATAGTACCTCATCATTGGTGTCAGTGGGAGGAATAGTGGGGGGTTGATGAGATATTCCAGTGCTGGTACTGGGTCTTTTATCCATGTCCCTGAAAAGAAGGCATTGAGAAAAAATATAAACTGTATTGCCAAACATATTGGGCCAGCCCTCCAAATCAATGGATTCAGCTGTTCCAATCACCTTGATAGCCATGAGTGTATAAAAATCATCACCTAGGCATGCAGACTGCTTCTACAAACATTTGTGAAAGAATAGGTTGCTCTCAGGAGCTCAGTGACTCCAAGCATGGTCCCGTGATAGGATGCCACCTGTGCAACAAGTCCATCCGTGACATTTCCTGGCTACAAAAATATTCCACAGTCAACTGTTAGTGATATTATAACAAAGTGGAAGCAACTGGGAACAACAACAACTCAGCACCCAAGTGGTAGGCCACGTAAAATGACAGAGCGGGGTCAGTGCATGCTGAAGAAGACAGTGTGGAGAAGTTGCCAACTTTCTGAGTCAATAGCTAAAGACCTCCATACTTCATGTGGCCTTTAGATTAACACAAAAACAGTGTGTAGAGAGCTTCATAGAATAGATTTTCATGGCCTAGCAGCTGCATCCAAGCCTTACATCACCAAGTAAAATGCAAAGCGTCAGATGCTGTGGTGTAAAGCATGCCACCACTGGACTCTAGAGCGGTGGAGACGTGTTCTCTGGAGTGACACATCATGCTTCTCTGTCTGGAAATCTGATGGACGTGTCTGGGTTTGGCAGTTGCCAGGAGAACGGTACTTGCCTGCATTGTGCCAAGTGTAAAGTTTGGTGGAGGGGGGATTATGGTGTGGGGTTGTTTTTCAGGGGTTGGGCTTGGCCCCCTAGTTCCAGTGAAGGGAACTCTTAAGGCGTCAGCATACCAAGACATTTTGGACAATTTCATGCTCCCAACTTTGTGGGAACAGTTTAGGGATGGCCCCTTCCTGTTCCAACATGACTGCACACCAGTGCACAAAGCAAGGTCCATAAAGACATGGACAAGTGAGTTTGGGGTGGAGGAACTTGACTGGCCTTCAGAAAGTCCTGACCTCAACCGAATAGAATGCCATTGGGATGAATTAGAGTGAAGATTGAGAGCCAGGCCTCCTCCCCCTGACATCAGTGCCTGACCTCGCAAATGCGCTTCTGGAAGAATGGTCAAACCTTCCATAGACACCCTCCTAATCCTTGTGGACGGCCTTCCCAGAAGAGTTGAAGCTGTTATAGCTGCAAAGGGCGGGGCCAACTCAATATTGAACCCTACGGGCTAAGACTGGGATGCCGTTAAGGTTCATGTGTGTGTCCCAGGCGTCCCAGTACTTTTGGCAATATAATATATATCCAAGTGTGAGGAGAGTGTAATGATGGCAAATGGGTGGGTAGGGTGAACAAGCCCACTTTAAGTGCAGCCTGTACAATATTATTAATGGTAAATGTCCCTCTATATTGCAGAACTGAACATGTTGTGATTAAATGTTTGCATTTTTTTATATATATGTCATAATTCAGTGGAACATCCTTAAGGGCTGATAAAGATAAAGCTATGAATTGATGATGAATGTTTTTTTTCTATAGCGCAATTCTTAAAGTGACACTAAAACTCTGGTTTACAGAAATATTCTATTTAAGCATCATTGTTAACTAAAAAGCCCCTTCTATTGCTCTCAGCCTCCTCCAAATCTCCAAATTCCCTTTTGCTGCTGTGAGCTGGCTTCTTCTTGTTAGAGGGTGCCTGTGTTCGTTCCCCATGGTCCCACTGTACGTAGGAACATAGCCACCATCTCTTGCTTGCTCCCAACTTGGACTATGGATTATGGATGTCTTGCTCTCAAATTACTTTGTCTTCTCCTCCCCCCATGCTCGTCTCTAGGACTTTTCCAGAGCCTCTATCATCCTCTGGAACTCGCTACCTAATCTGTCCAGCTATCCCCTACTCTGGCTGCCTTTAGGTGATCCCTGAAAACTCATCTCTTCAGGGAAGCCTATCATGCCTCCAACTAAACATTTATAACTTCCATCAGCTCATCCCCCACAGTTATAACCCTTTGTACCACTTGCCCCACCCTATTAGATTGTAAGCTCTTATGGGCAGGGCCTTCTTAACTCTCTCGTTCTGTATTGTATAGAAATGCCCGTAGCGAAAATAAAGAAGAAGTAGCGCAGGGCATGCATGACTAGGCCCAGAGTGGGGAAGGAGGAGCAGAAAGGGTTAAGGTTAGCTCCAGGGGGTTTGTTTTGATAGTGGGGGTATCTGGTTGGTAGAGGTTGAGTGTAGGTGGAGTTTGCTGCACCTTAGGGTGGGGGGTTCTGTGAGGGGCGTCAGTTGGAGCTGGACGTCAGGAGTGAGAGCTTCCCTCCCGCCCTCCCTGTTTTTGGAGAGTATTGGGTCCCTCCGAGAAACGGGGGGGGGGGGGGTTATGTTGGTTCATGGGCGGTTGTTGGTCTTTGGAGGCGGTTCTTATCTTGGAAGGTAAAAACAATGGTGTGGGACCCATCGGTGGTATGGGATGTCCGGGGACATTCCCAGTTAACCAAGGTTTAACTGGAAGGTGATGGTGCTGCACTGCAGACGGTATGGTTGTCTCTGAGCTGGTTGGTTGTGGCTGGAGGCCTAGTGTATATGGGTGTCCGCAGGTGCATTTCGGATTGTTTGGGGGTGCCTTCGAAGACCAACAACAATTCTTTGGGTTTCTGTTATAAGGAATGGTTGGTGTATTTAAACTTGAGTTGTTAATAAAAGGCCATGTTGGCCATTTACTCCAAAATTGGTATCATGTTTTTTTTGTAAGTATAATTGGTTAAGGGGAAGGGTGGGGGGGGGGGGGGGGGTTGGCATGGAACGGTAATGGTGGTAATGGGGAGTGGACAAGCCTATCTCTGGTGCAATAGCCATGTAACAGTACTGTCTCCCTTTATATTGAAAAGCACTACGCAAACTGTTGGCGCTGTATAAATCCTGTATAAAAACAATAATTATGGACTATGTGATTTATAGTGTGCATAGAGCAGTGCACATGACCCCAACTAATGTGCTGTGCTTCTTCCGAAGTAAAGGAGTGGTTCAGGAGATCACTGAGCATGCTAAATAGAGTCAGAAATAAAAACTGGCTGTGTTGCCGGTCAGAATCAATTCTCATCCCAACTTTCATTTGGCTTGAAAATGAGAGAGAATTTGATTCTCAGCTATGTGCAAGTTGTTGTTGTAAAGCCATTGACTAATATACAGTATGTGTTATATTTTATTATAGGACACTATTAGTAATGATGTGTAAACGGTAACTACAGGTTTTACAAGTACGTTAAAATGAATCTGTCATGCCTAAGTGTGTGTGTGTGTGTGTGTGTGTGGTGGGGGGATACTGCTGCTTCAGAAAATGCTAGTCGCCTGGCTGTTATACTATCCTGCAGGTTTCAGTACTTTCCAAATCACTGAATGACACGTACTGCACTTCAGGGGACGGATGATTAAAGGGTAACTCTACTTTCATGAGAAAAGAAAATATACTGTAAATATAATAATAATAACAATACATACAATTGCTAGACAGGCCATATTGTAATTGAATGTTATTAAATGTTGACTTTCCTTCTCAAACTGTAGCCGCTGTAACTTTTCAATCTTTCAATCTGGAAGTGTTCCGTACACTCTGTACAGAGCGCCGCCAAAAATATAATTCCCTGCCTTCCCTGATTGGCTCACTGATTTTCCCAGAAGTCTAGATTAACCTCCGTAGCGGTAATCCCGAGTGTAGCTCGGGGTAAAATTTCAATACCAAAAGCGGTAACCCCGAGCTACACTCGGGCTTACCATGCGGCGTTGTTCAGGGGGTCCCTGCAGCACTTACCTGTCCTTCGCTCCCACGATCTGTCCCTTCCAGCGTCCCCGGCCATCTCCTCCGGCCGATGCCGGCATCCGGCTTCTGTGTTCCGGTCCCTGTGACGTCGGGACGTACTGGCAGCGGAACCGGCGGGAAATTTGAAATTTTAAAAAAATGTCATTTTTGCTGTCATTGCTGTTTCAATGCATTTCACATATATTTTGACCCTACTGCTTTGTCCTGTGCCCTGCCTGCATTTTGAATGTTCTTTCTGCCTGGAAACTTAGAAAAGTCCATGGCGTCCAAAAAGCGTCCCTTTACGTCAAAAGCGGTTTTAGAACAGCCATAGTAAATCAGAACCACTTGCAGAATTGAGTGATAATGATTTGTGGGGGAAATTCATCATCAGACACTGAAAACGATTTTGCGACTTTGCTCAGCGATGTGCGAATTTGCCTCTGTATTTCAAATTTCAGTGTTTTTGGTTTGATTATATTATTGAATTAAATTTATTATTATTATATTATTATTTTTTATGATTATTTATTCAATTATAATTTATGATTTCGTGTTTCAAGTTTTATCATATCCAGAATGTTTAATAGACTCTTGTTCGGACAGATTTCAGTGAGTTATTCCTAAAACTTACAGCCTACAATAAAAAACTACATATTTCCATGCAAAAAAATGGTACCCGCTTTCAGCACAAAAAATCGGAAAGAATCATACGGCCAAGGAGGTTAAGATACAGACCAAATTTTAGGCATTCCCTGCAATAGGAATTTCATTTTTGGTGAGATACTCTCCAAGAGTTCATCACTTCTAAAGGGATGCAGACACTACAGCTTTTCTCATTAGAACACTAAGAGTGCACCAGGTTATTATAATGAACCAGCATCTCCCATTCAGAATCAGAGGACACGGTGAAATAATCAGCTATTATTTCAGAGCAGAAACAGGTAGGAATCTACAACAACATTTGTTAAAATCCCTGCAATGTGATCACCCAGAGGGATTGCTTTTTCTCAACAACAGTGGAATTCAAAGCTAAACTCTGGGAAACCTGAAAAACCTCTTTAGCGGGGGTGCTGAGCTTGCACTGCAAGGGTAAACTGCTTATTTGGTCCAGGGGATGGTAAAAGCATTTTTTGTTAAACTTACTCAATCCATCGCAG